CTTCCAGGCGGCCTTGTTCCGCAGTAGCGGCGGGATGACTTCCAGTCTCTTCCCCTTCGTCTTCTGGTTCTTGAGCTGTGCTTTCCTCTCCTGAGGCAAACCAGCTTCTCATGACTGCTCCCAACTTTTGTGGCCTCCTCTTCCCTTGTCAGGAGTTTTGGGAAGGAGAGAAACTCAGTCTAAGATATGTGCTTTGAACTCTGGACAAAGCTTTGCCTGAAGCTGGGTGAACAAATGACTGTCCTCTTGCTTAGTCTAGTTTGACTCTGACCTTCTCTATTATCTACAACATAAAGGTGCCCTGTGAGTGTCTGGGCTTCCCTCTGCCCTTTCCTGGGCTTGCCCTGGGTTCTGTAGCCTCCATTGTCAGAAGCTCAGGTTTGGAGGAAGTCTTGCTTGAGAGGTTCTGCTTCCTTTCCTCATTTCATATTTTACTTTAGATAATGGGGTGGTTTTCAAGCTTTAACGAAGAGCCCCGGAGCAATTTTTCTCTCCTTTCCTCGCTTTCACTTTTTCCCCACCAAGTCCATGAAAAATGATGTAATGAGGTTCTCCCACTTATGTGAATGTTTATATCTTAAAAATTTTTTTTTCTTCAAACGCTTAATCGGAAAGCTGACAGAGCCAGACATCATGGTGAAGGGCTTTAGATTTTTCGGTAAGGAGTTTTCAAATACTTCTCCTGAAATCCCAGAAAACTTATAATTAATTTTGCAGTTTATCTGTGTCAGGGGACTATGTGTGTCCTGCATTGCTCTGAGGTGTCTGAGAGCAGCTTCTGGTTACAGATTCTGAGCTGGGGCTGATTAGGTTTTCCCTTCAAACTTACCTGAATTCCCCATTTTCTCAGACCGTTCACTCCCCAGCGGCTGAGGAGTGTGCCCCGTGGAGCAGCAGGCTTGATGCCCGTCTTTTCCCCACCCACGGGGAAGCATTCCTACCTTGTGGGACTCTCCCAGGAGGCCTCTCCTTGGCTAGTCTTTCTCTCCTAGGGAGGAGGTCCTTCGGGAGCGTTTCCCACACTCTCTTTGGCTCGTGCCTTTTGCCATTACTTTGGAAACCTGTCCAGGAAGATTATGCGAAGTCTGCCCACAGAGGCTTCTGCCTACCCGAGGGATCATTCTGAACAACAGTCTTGAGTGCCTGCCATTGCGCTCAGTAGACGTCGAGGCTCCTCACGTGGTTCACAAAGCCCTCCACCTCTGGCCTCTCCCAGCTCTCTAGCCTCTTCCCTTAGAAATCCATTCCAGTCATGTGACACTCCTGTAACTCAGCACTGATTATGTTCTTATCCATCCCCCTGCCATTTCCCTCCTCTTGTGTCTTCCCAACACCTCACACCTTCCCAGTTCACCTTCTGTCTCTTTCCATTAAAAAAAAAATCAGATTTGTGGGATCTAAAAACAAGGCAAATGAAACAAGCACAGACTCATAGAAACAGAGACCGGATGGAAAGGGGTCTGTAGTCAATAATATTGTGATAAGTTGGTGTGGTGGCAGATGGTTACTAGAATCAGTGGGGTAGTCACAATTTAAGGTACGCTATGTCAAATCTCTATATTGTATGCCTGAAACCAATGTACGATTGAATATTGACTATACTTAAATTAAAAAAAATAAGTTATAAAGAGAAGATTCCCCATTGCAGTTACTGGAATGCCATAGGTCAACCCTGGACAGAGGAAGCATCATTAGACTTCATGTACCAGCTGACCATGCGCAACTTCCAGGCCTCTCCTGACACGGAAGGAAGTGACCTACCTACTATTTAAGCCTTTCCAGGTGTGGGGTTCAGGGAACAGAGAAAATGACCTGCAGGGCCAGAGTCTTGGAAATCTTAGCGCTTGGCCAAATAAATAGGGCTCTTTGTAAATGTGCAGTGATGATGAATATATACATAAATATCAGGTAAATTATTGACATACAATATTAATGGTGTATATTATTGAGTATGGTTCAAAAATTCAAGTGATGTATTTTTGTTTTATTAGAACAGCCATGTCTTCCTTCATGCTCAGCCTTCTTTGTTTCCTACATAACAGTGGTTGCATGTAGCTTTAAAAATGTGAACTAAATATCTGCTGGAGTTTATCTTTTATTAAGTGGAACTAATTTTCTTCTAAAAACTATGTAGCTTTAAAAAATCAAATTGGTTAATCTGGAGGGGTCAGTTTTAGATATTTGAAACTTACATTTAAACCTGGTGGGGTTTTTTTTTTCGTTTTTGTATTTTGGCACATCGCTTACCTCTGTAACAGTCTGGTTATTGGGAGCTGGGAAGACGCCAGACACGCTGAGACACTTGAAAGTCCTTTCAGGGGTACTGAGGCATCTAGGCTTCTGCTCGTTTCCAAAACAACACGAGGCAAGAGCAATCACTTGCAGTTACTATAGATAATTGTAAGCTGATTTTATCGAGAAAGTAAACAACACTATACTTATGCAATAAAAAATTTATCAGACCTGCAGCGTCCCTCCTCCCTGCCCAGTCCGAGGGGGAAAAAAAGTCTCAGAAGAATGTTATTTTAATGAGCACATTTTGAAGGTGCTGGAGTTACGGGCGACATCAGGAAACGCCGATTGCAATTACTGTCTCTGTTTGTCGTCCGGGACTTTATTGGTGCCATATTGAGAAGGGTGTGGGGATGGAAGTTCGAGGGGAAAGTATTCAGCCAGCCCGTTAGCCTGCAACGGTTACCACTTATTAGAATAAACTTACTCAGTGGGATTAAAACCGCCTGAAAATTGTTGTATTTGTAGTTTGAAATCGCTTTTTTAAACAGTTGACTTACAGTTGATTTAACCACAGAAGGACGTATGAAAACATTTCTTAAACTATTTCTATTCTTTTTTCATGTGCTCTGTGTTATGTCTGCTGTCCTTTGGGTCTCACCTCTGTGCCCCAGCCGCACAGTTCCCTTTTCAGAAAAATCAGCCTTGAGTGTCCTTCTTGAAATGTTTTATGTACATACACATATACACGCATGTGTTTGTATTCCTCACAGAAACTATAGCCTATTAGTTTCTTTCTCTTAGAAAATATATCAGATAGTCCTGTATTGGCTACACAGTTTTTTATTGCCTGGACAGTTCGTATTTGATTCAACCAGAACCGTACGATGAACATTTAGGTTAATTCTGATCCAATAAACAGTGCTACAATACACGTATATCTTTGCTCAAAAGTCGTTTTGCAACCTCTGCAAGTGGAAATCTTAGTATACATTCATAAAAGTGAAATCGTGGAGTTCCTCTAAGTTCAAAGGGCTTGTGCATTTGTCAGTTTGATAGGCTTTGTCAACATGTCCTCTACAGAGGTTCTGAGTGTGCCAGTTTGCTAACACCATATTTTATCAATGTGCTTGATATTTCCTGATCTGATAGGTGAAAAATATCTATGGTGGCCTTAATTTGAACTTGTATGAATAAGTTTGAACATCTTTGTTATGTTTACAAGCTCATTTGATCTCCTTTTATGTGTTTTATGTCCATAACGTTTACCCTTTATTCTATTTGATTATTGCTGTGTATTCTATCGATGTGTGGAGAGCTGGTGGAACTTACTTATTTATGTTCCACGGGAGTTGGAGAATCGGCTTGCCTAGTTACCAACCCCATTCACCTAAAATGTAGGCCTATTGGTGTTTTTATTGCGTCTGTGTCAAACTTATAGATGAATTTAGGGAGAACTGACATTTCTATGATGTTCAGCCTTATTTCCCAAGAAAATAATATGTTATTACATTTCCTTAAATATTCTTTTGTGTCTGTCAATAATTTTAAAGTTTAACCATATAGACAATGCACATGTAAGAATCTTGTTAGATATTTTTATATGCACATTTTTATAGCATTTTCTTAATTCACCTGTTGCTTAATTCACCTGTTGTTGATTTGCAGGTAAATAATCATATCATTTCCCAAAGAATATTTTTCTCGTTAAAACATGTTTTACCTCTTTTGTGTTTAACTAGGGTCCCTCTATTACACTGTGTCAGAGAGCACTGCTTTGTTGGGCATCCCTTCCAGGATATTGCTGAGTTGTTGTGGTGATAAAGGATATTGTTTTCTAATTCCTAACTTTGGGAATGTTTCTAATCTTTCCCGATTAAAATATGATGCCAGCTTTGGGTTTGAGTAGATCTGTATTTTATCATGTTAAGGAACTAGCCACCTATATCTTTTTTATTGAGGTTTTCATTATGAAAAGATACATTTTATTGAGTACTTGAGTGTATATCTAGTGACTCATGATTGTTTTTCATTTATGAATATAATTAATTTTTGGTATATGTTTTTGCACACTGAACTATCCTTGTATTCCTGCAATATGTTCTACGTGGTTGTACACTGTTATTCTTTTAATATGCTGCTGGATTTGAGTTCTATTTTCTCATGCTATATTTAGGAATTTTGCCTTGATTTTTCAGATGCGAGACTGGTTTGCGTGTGTGTTTGTGTCTTTCTGCGTGCATGTGTGTGTTTTCATTTTGGATTTTGATACATACTATTCTGTCTGCTTGAAAAGAATTTGGAAACTTTTTCTATGCTCTTAAGCAATTCAAAGGGTATTGAAGTAACTCCTTCTTAATTGTATGGTAGTATTCTCCTTTGTATTGTGATTATCTAAGCCTGTGTTTTCCTGGGAGATACTTCCCTGACAACTTCCTTTATATCTTCTGTGTCTTGTGTAGCTTTCCTGTCTTTTTTGGGGTGGATTAGGTTATTAATATGTTCCTAAAAAACCAATCTAGATTTTTCTAATTTCTTTGGAATTTAACAATATTTTTGCCCTGTTAAAATTTCTGTTATGTTAAAATTTTTTGATTAAAAATAAATGACATGTTAAAAATATTCTAAAGACTGTTTTTTCTTAAAAAAATGTAATATAAAAGGACTATATGTCTATTAAAAGTTCAATGATTCCTAAGGTAACCATTGTAGAACCCACGACTTGGGATTTAACTTTTTCTTTCTGATCACCCTCTCCTCTTGGACAGGCCCCGAGGAGGAAGGTGAGGATGATCCTCAGCTCGAAGGCAGAGACCCTGATATTTGGCACGTTGGCTTCAAGATCTCCTGGGACATAGAGACGCCTGGCTTGGCCATACCGCTTCACCAAGGAGACTGCTACTTTATGCTGGGTAATTCGGAGGATCCAAATCCTATCGATGTCCTATTGTCTAAGTGTTACGTTATTGGGTACATATTTTGAATATGTCTTTTGAACTTTCCGAGTATTTTATAGTGATAATGAAACGTATACGTGTACCTAGTTAGTTGGTTCGTTGTTTTTTTTTTTTGAGATATGGCTAATTTTTAGAAGTTACTTTTCATTCGCAGTGTCCCTAGAGTTCTGCAAATGTTCTAAACAATTTTCAGGAGTCCTCATCAGAGCCACAGAATCATCTAAATCAACTCCTCCTTGTGAAGTCTTAAAAATATTTCCCTGTCTCTGTAAGTTCTTAGTGAGAATGTACTTTCCCCCCAGTTTCGAATTTAGTTTCTCCCTGGGAGCCGCTGACCTGACAGTGAACGGGACCTCCCTGTGCACTTGCGTTGAGGCCGTCGGAAGCAGTGTTCCAGCCAAGGCTAACACTGCTAGCCGAGGCTGGGCAGTGCGCGGGGCCTTGTTTTCGCTTCTTTGCTCTCAGTTTAGTGTTTTGTTTGGGGACATTCTACTTGTCTGCTGGTGTACGGTATTTTATTCTTACTCCTAAAGCTCCTCAGGGTCTGTTCTCTCCTTGGCTTTGGCTCCCAACTGTTCTGGGTTTATCTCGCTCGTACCTGCTTGGGAGCACTACTCATGGGCTGGTTTAACAGCCAGGAAGCACCAAGGCTCAAACCCAGTAATTTGTGATAAAATTATTTCCCAATTAATTATTTGTAGAGGCCCCACTATGTTCTGCATGCTGCATAAGGTTCTGGTGGAGATGCTGGAGATGGATGAGCCTTGGTCCTTGCCTTTTAGGAACTGGATTTTCCAATAGCTCTTTAAGCCATTTCCTCATTAAGTATTTTCCAAATATCAGTCATTTGCACCAGCTTCGAGGTTCCTGCCCTATCCACTCACCACCATTTATATCACTTATATAAATTTCTTTCTAAGTGAACTCACTTTTTTTTATTGAAATGAATTTTAGTAGTTTTTATAATTGAATATTTTAAATGGAAAACCAGTATCACTAGGCAGAATTAGAAAGTTTAATAAATCTGTAAAATACAACAGTGTTAAGTTTCTGCTACTTTTTCCCCCTCAAGATCGTGAGTCTGGGTCCTGTTCTGTCTTTGTGAAAATGGAGGCGAGTAACTGTTAGGAGTTAACTGTATCATGGCGCCTCTCTGAGACTTCCTCCCTGATGTCAGCAGGGAGGTTGGAAGATCATCTTGTAAGAAATGACCTTCTCACAGTGGGTTCCCTGGTACTTAATGTTGAGTCCCTTTACCTCTTACATTCTTTTCCTGGGCTGATTCCTGCATTTGTTGAACACAGATCTAAGTAAGCCCTAAATCTCTTGCCTTCCATTCAGATGTCGCTTTACAGTTTACAAATCAGTCTCACGTAAGCAATCTCATTCAGCCCCCAGACGGCCTTGTGAGAAGGTGTGCAGAGGTGGTTCCTCCCCAAAGTGATTTGTCTGTGGTCACTCTGTCCATCTGGGGCAGATCAGGGACCAGAGTGGGTTTCAGGTTTCCTGTACAGATGGTCCCGGACTTAACCATCGTTCGACTGATGATTTTTTTTTTTTTGCCTTTATGATAGTACGAAAGCAATAATCGTTCTTCAGTAGAAACCATACCTGGAATTTTGCAGGCTGGCCTTTTCCCAGGCTAGTGACATGCAGCGCTATCGTCTTTCCTGGCGCTGGGCAGCCTGCCGATTTTGCCCAACAGGTGGCTGCTCTCAGTGTTCTGAGCATGTGGAAGGTAGGCCAGGCTAAGCTACAACGTTCAGTAGGTTAGGTGGATTAAATGCGTTTTCAATGTACAGTAGTTTCAACGTACGTGGATTTATCTGGAGGTAACCCCACCATAAGTTGAAAAGCATCCGTACAGTGCCTTTTCCACTCTGAAATGGACTGTAGGCTTGAACGGTATACACGGGAACCTCTATGTGCGGATGCTTTTAGGGCTATATTCATATCTCCCCCTGCCTCTCCCCTGCTTGCCTCAGGAATGAGGTTTTCAGTAGGAAGTCTCTGCTCCATTGTTGAGTATCATGTGTAGGTAAACAGATTGTTATTTCATTTTCCAATGTACCCCCACGCCATATGGATATTTATTCAATACCTTGAGTATAAATAGGTGTTAACTTCAGCCGATAAACCACTTTCCTTTGAATACTTTGTTCAGGAGTTTTTCTATTTGCAGTTTGCATCTTTAAAAGAAACGAGAGTCAGAATGATACCATTTTAATAGCTTTCTTAATTTTCTGTTCATAAAAGTAGTAAATACACATTGTGAAAGTTCAGCTATCTTCCATTTATTTATTAATAGCTCATGTGTTCTTTTCTGATTGAAAAAGCCATCTAGTCTCGTTCTAGAGAAAAGAAACTCTGAAAAGTCTAAAATGAAAGAAGATGATAAAAATCAGGTTCGTGCCTGTTTCAGGATATTCCCTTTTAGTCTTTTCTCTATACATACGCATAGAATAATAGTAGTGTATGAATAACAACCACATTTACTGGGGACTAATAGCAAGTCAAGCGTTCTTTTAACCCTCTCGGTAACCCTAGGAAGTAGGTCTTAGCTATCCTGCAAAGGGAAAAATTAAGATTAGGTTGAGGTCGTTACTTAGCCACGGTTACACGGCCAGTCAGAAGCCTGGCCTGACGCTTGCCACTTCCTCCCGCTCGGCCTCTGCCACCACGTGTCGGGCCATCCCTCCTCCCGACTCGGGCGCCGACCCTGCTCTAGGCTCCGTGCCCTCCTCTCCCTCCCTCAGCACAATGCCAGGCCTGGAAGGGTCCAGGACTAAATTGTGGAAGAAAAGAAGACGACAGTGATCCGTTTCCTCCTTTCTTTTTCATTTCTTTTTAAGGTTGTTTTTTTTCTTGCCTTAGAAATAGGTTAATAGTGAGAATATTGAATCACTACATTGTCCTTTTGACTTATGTGTTACAGTTCCTATATGTTTTAAAAGATGCATTGGGTCCCTTTAGCTATTGTAGGTGAGAAACAGAAGAAGTGAGTGTTATTTTATAGGAAGTGATAGCCAGGGTACAATGTCTCTTCCCAATTTCCCAACTCCTGCCTTCAGATGCAGGTGAGCTAGCTGGTACCTGCAGACCCAGGCCAAGCGCAGCCCCGTGCACCCTAGGGCTGCCTTGAGAATATATTTCCTCATTACGATGTCATAGTGGATTTCCAAACTGAATTTTCCTCCATTCCCTCTTATAAACAAACATACAAACAAAAGCCACTGTGGTCAAATGCTCCCTTTTCGCTTTTGCAAATCCAAATGCTACAAGGAGCCATGAGGAGGGACCTCGGCCCTGCGCTGATATCTGAAATCTGAACTTCATAGCACTTATGAAAAGGAAACAGTTTAGCTCCATTTATAATAATATATTGGTCTGCAGAGGAAGTGCGGGCTGAGCCCTGCTGTCTCCAGCCAGTACTCGGGGGGTGTCTGATGGGGCGCGCGCCGGGTGCCGGTAATAAATCCACCGCCTGAGCGCGTGAGTGAAGGCCCTGCCGGCGGTGCCCGAGGACACGCTTAACTGGAGTTGTCACGGTGTTACTTTGAAATTGGAATCTTTGCCCTAATCTCAGAGTTAGACATGACCAGATTTGCAAACAGATTTACAATTTTCACTAATTTTCCAACCAGGACTTCAAAACACACTTAGAGGGGAAAAAAAAATAGATTCTGGTCTTTTTCAGAGTAGGATGATTTACTTTGCCACAGATGTTTTCCATAGACTGAATGTAACCTGGGACTTAGGGACTTAAAAGTGGCTTGGGGACAAACTGTGGGTTTGTGTTTTGTGGAAGAGATTGTGCAGTTCAAGGGACATTGACCCACTTATGCTTATTAACCAGGAGCCGGCGTGGAGGTGGTGTGTTTCAGGACAAAGGTGGGTGCTAGGTAAACAACTGGGGTGAACCCCCTCCCCCTTCCTTACGTTATTTTTACATGTCACTCTCCATGACTCCATTCTGCCCCATTTCTTTACTTGTGTTTCCTGAAATCTGACTGAATCACATGTTCAAATATCTATTGTTACTGCAATGATCAGCTACTTCAAAGCTTCAGCTGCCCAGTAAAAACTCCACTGCAAAAAAAAAAAAAAAAGAAAGAAAAGAAAAGAAAAAGAAAAACTCAGTATCAGTTGAAATGCGTAATCTTTCTTTTTTGGTTTTGCTTTCCCTCACTAACAGTTTGGGCTAAAATACTGAAAAAGCCACGGGGTTTCCCGTCAGGTGACCGGCTTCCGACTCGCCACACTGTCTGCGGGGTAGGCGCCATTAATCCCTCTCGGAGCCCCTGCTCCCCCATATTCCCCACCAAATTAGGGCCACTACTGATCCTCGCTTCCAGGCTGTTCTGAGGCCAAGTATAATGTATGGGACCGTGCTTTGTACACTACACTTTGAATGTGGGGACTTGCGAAGACTGGGACCTGGGCTGCGGTTCTTGAAGAACCAGAGAGGCGAGTGGGTGACCAAGGAAGGTCAAACACAGTTCTCAGCCTTCTTCCCGCCCCGAGGTTTGCCAGCTTTGAACCTCATTCTGCCATGTGCATGTTTTCGTAGCACCCAAACGAGCTCCGGGAAGTGGAACTCTCACCAGTGGATACTTACGGGAGAGAAGAGTCCACATCTGCCTGATGTTGAATCCGAGCTGTGTGGGGACCACGGTCTGCCCTTGGTGGTGGCTGGGAGGACGCGTGGACCCTGGGCTAGGGTTTCTGATACATGAGGTTTGCTGTCCCTGCGGTATCTGGGCCCAGAGCAGCAGGCCCTGCTGTGCACGTCCCCGTGCTAGGCCCTGAAAAGGCGCCCTGCGGGCCAGTGGGGGCGCCTGAGGTGGAGCCTGCAGCCCTGGGAGCAAAGAACCGAGGCCCCTGGGAGCTGAGCATCTCCTTCTCAGCCGCGGCCCCTCTGGGACTCACTCTGAGCCTGTGGCATCTTAGTTAAA